TAACATGAAGACTGACGAACTTCTGCTCAAACAGCTGAAAAAAGAGGAAGGATTAAAGAAGAGTAGGACTGACATGATTGCGTCAGAAACCGCCGCAGAAAGCGTTTGCGTTGCGGCGTCAACCTTGGAGCGCGGCAGGTATCACCCGGACGCTGGAAAACTGGGACGCGGCGAAGAAAAAGTTTTAGGAGAGTGTAACTTTCTTGAGACGTATTTGTTTCACTTATTGAGGTAGGTTTAAACTGTGCCTGAGGTGGCTTTACAGAAAATTGCAAGGATGACCTAACTCTCCCAAAAGTATTTCTGTCAGAAGCGGAAAACCCAAAATTCTGAGAAGGCGCACCTCCAACTTTGAGAGCCTCATAAAATCTTTCGTATGCGACATTTGGAAATTGTAAAAAGTTTAGAAACTTCAAATATTTCTAACAAAAGATTATAAAAAGTTAAGTGATTGTCCCCTTTTTCAAAAATTTGCCCCGTTCGAACAGTTCCCGTGCAAAACCGAGTTTTTAAGCTTTCAGCGACTATAACTCACTTCATTTTGATTGCTGTGTTTCCCTCTTTCCATGGGGTGAAAGAGCAGGTTTTGCTCTTTCTAATAAGCCCTAAACCATTTTTCAAAGTTCATTTTTCGAGAAAATCCCACGTTCGAACATTTCGGGCGGTTTTGCCGAACACATTCTTCTTGAAATCGCGAGTTTTTGGGCTTTCAACGAGCATAACTCGCTTCATTTTGATTGCTGCGTTTCCCTCTTTCCATGGGGTGAAAGAGCAGAATTTGCTCTTTCTAACAAGCCCTAAACCATTTTTCAAAGTTCATTTTTCGAGAAAATCCCACGTTCGAACATTTGGATCCCATAGGTTTTTGAGCAGCACATGCGAGTTTCGAGCTTTCAGCAATAATAACTTCCTTCAAAGAGCATGTTGGAAAGAGGCGAAGACATTTTTGAAGACCGCGAGGTTTCTTCTTTCTTATGTGTTTCACGATTTTGTGGAAGAACCGTCCGTAGAAAAGTAGGTTCCCGAAGAAGTTCAATTTCAGCCACAAGAAGTCAAACTTTTCATGGAGATGCATTCAACTGTTCTCTATTCCTCAAGGAAAACACCGTAATTTGCCTAAAACTGTCTCTCTGTGCATAATTAATCGAATCTAATGCGGTCTGCACAAACAATTCTTGCCCTCGGATACGCCACGCACGCGCCTGTGGCTGGCAGTCCTCGAAATTGCGACCCCCTTCCGACCAAAATGCGACCCCTTCGTTCGAACAGTTCGAACGGACGGTTGACCCTGTCAGGGCTGACGAGCTTTTTGAAAACGGTCTTTTGCATGATATAGGGGCAGATGCGGGGACCACAGAACCATGTTTAATTTTTCCTGAACGGCCCTCTGAATACCAGAAAAGGGGGTCCCTAGTTCGATTCCTCTTGGTGACAAATTTTTGCATTTCGAGTTGACGTTCCAAAATTCGCGCAAAATGGAGTTCTGATTGTTCTGGTTGGTTCTAACTCCATTTTGCGCGAATTTTGGCACGTCAACTCGAAATGCAAAAATTTGTTACCACGAGGAATCGAACTAGGGACCTCCTTTTCTGGTATTCAGAGGGCCGTTCAGGAAAAATTGAACATGGTTCTGTGGTTCCCGCATCTGCCCCTATATCATGCAAAAGACCGTTTTCAAAAAGCTTGTCACGCCCTGAAAGACCTTCCTGGTAAGTTCAACACAAATAGTTTAAATTGAGCAGCAAAAGTTAGGGACCCCAATATGTTCAAAATTTTATGTTGCCATGATGCTTCTAAACAGCGGAAACCTCGCAACACTAAAAAGAAAAACTGAACCCAGGCAATGATATACTACCCTGATGTGCGGAAAGGAAGTCGTCAGGGAATGAGCAGATGAGCTTCACCAACTCAGAAAACGCCGTCTCCTTCACATCTTCCGAATTCGATAATAGAAAAGGCCTGAATCAGGTACAATCTGCGGTCGTGAACAATTAGAAATACTGAATAATTTTTTGTCAGAACTACACAGCTCACCTTTTCGCTTCGAAGAAATCACTCAGAGCAAGAGATCTGTCAATTACTAGTTGTTGATAGGCAGTACTATAGTCACCCTCCCCTGTGGTCATCCTGAAAAGTAAGATTTATTTGATCGTATACCAGCAGAAACTGAAGCAGGAAAGTAACGAGTGATCAAATTCAGCAATGATACTCTACACAACCAACGTGAATGTGGACTTGGAAGCCAAACTCATTCGTTAAATAGGCCCCCCATGGATGATTTTAGGGGTCTCACGAATCAGTTCTATTGAGAATTCTAATACAGATCATGATTTAAAATGCTACGAAATCAACAATGAAGATTACGATAGGAGAAAAATCTACAAATTAACGTCGAACGGTTGATCGGCTCCAGGGCAGAGTCAGAGAAGGTTGGGGTGATACCAGATTTCTTCCTACCCTCAACTTCTAATTAAGGCCCTAATTAGATATGAAGACTGACATCGCAACATTATCGTCGCCGCAGCCGAAGCGTGCCGCCGCCAGCCTCTTGCGTCTCTCATTCGCGAAGCGCACGGGCTGCGGCAGGCAGAGTCAGGAGATTTTTCCTCCATAAGATTGCATGAATGGACTTCCCCTGCCCAGGCGAAGAAGAAATGAGGGCTGGAGAACCTCTTTTCAAAAAAAAAACCAATCCATTGAAACACGAACAAAACGGGTGGATGCCATTTTCCCGAGTGAGATCTTTGGCAGCCACCGGTGACTGCCATTCTCACGAATGGGTTCAACCTGGGAGAAGGACTGAAGTAACTTGACCAAGTTTAGAATACATCCTTCCACATCTCCTTGTTACTCTACTTTCTGCTGTGCGATTGCGATGACCGGTCGATTACGAGCAGCAAAGCAAAAGATAGCGACTAGAAGTTTGTTCTGCGCCGTTATAGCATACATCATTCAGAAACCGAGTGCAGGAGTTGCACAACGCTACACTGCTGATCCTATAACGCCCTTCCTTTCCGTAACTCCTAATTGCTTGCGCAAAGAAGTGCGAGACAATCACTGCCCTTCTGAGTACCTCGTCTGGTATGTTATGGGATGGTATAAAGACCGTTACAAGTTTCGGTCTGGATTGCAATCCTCGAAACAGGCATGTAACTTTTTCTTCAAAACAATCATGTCCCAACCCATCACCTCAAATACAAAAATCGACATTTAATTCCAAATTTAATCGGCTCTATCTGTTCCTCAGCTAATTATACGAAGTTATACGAGAAACTGCTGTTTTCGTATTGTCCCTCACCGCAGGAAACCATCAAAGGTGCTCAAAAGGTCCACAAAGAATGTTGATAAGAGATCAACGTAAACAACAGCGCGCTCGTGCAACGAATATAATGACAAAATATTTGGCGCCACGACTGGAAGGGTAATCGCTGACATTCAGCGCACTTCTTTAACAACCCTTCCCTTTGTTCATGCTTCCATTTTTTCATGCCACCTTGTTTGTAACTTTGAATAACTCCGAAAATACCACTACGCCTCTACAAAACCAACAGCCTGAGGGTAACTGCACATCTTCCAGGAAGCACACCTGGCTTCTGAAATCAAAGTGAGGTCATGACAGGTTAGCCAAAAAAAAATTGACAGGAATAGAGTGAAACTCGGGAAACCTTCAAATTCAATGCGGGAGCCCCAAATTTCTTGCACATAAAACAACTTATGAGACTCCTTGAGTTCCAATTACTTCTAATTGTAACCTCCCCTTCAAAAAGCGAGAAAGTGTCGGGTGCAGAACAAACACCACAACTGACGACGGCCTCCAAGTAAATCTGGTTAGAAGTTGTTCATAGTGATAGCTGATTTCTGGTAAATGATAGTTGTAATTAGTGACAATCGATAGAATACAACTGCAACAGGCTAATCATTTCATTGGCAGAAAACATTAACATTTTGTGAAGGCCGTCGTCACTTGTGGTGCATGGTCTGCACCCGACACTTTCTCGCTTTGAAGGGAAGGGTAATTATTCAGCTATAGACATGTTTTACCGAATACAAGTCAGATTTTATACTGATGATTTTCCATGAATTATTTTGGCTTGCTAGTGAACAAAACTGGGAAAGATGACGCATTGCATCCGTCCACACCCTCTCAAAAATACTCCCTGCCTGTGACTTCCACACAAAACCAGCAGAACATGTTCGGGACTAAAAACCAAACGCCGAACCGCTTGAGAATTACTGATAAGCTGACGCGTAAAATTTTGCTCAAGCTCTGTCATCGCTCCTTTATGACGCTAAAATAGCCCACAAACGTAACAGGCGGGCATGTGAGGGAAAGCAGCAATCACCTGATTGTTACGGTGCCTCTTCATCGTCAACTATATAGGCCAATCGCGCCGTGCGAAGGCGTCATTTTTCTAACGCTATTGCTTTGTGCCGAGTGAAACCAACTCGTCATCACCAACAGAAAGTGGCAGGAAACCGTCAGAACCGTACTCCAGCGAACAGCAAATGAGATCCCTCACATTGCTGATCGTAGTCATAGTCCTGCCGGAACTCCGTGGGCAGTGGCTGTAAATTTCTTATATTGTCCGGGGCAGCCTCATAAAGGAGGACTCTGAAGCACCACCAATTTTGCACCCGCTGGAGTAAATTAATGAGGTTCGCTTTTTAGAAAGAGTCGAACAAAGCAGAACCTTCTATAGCAATCGTCGGCGCCGGCATGAGCGGTTTGTCGGCAGCTCGACGATTGATTGAAACAGGACGAACTGACATCGACATTTACGAAGGAATGGATCGCATTGGAGGACGTATACATCCCGTGCCATACCGTATGTCTGTTTGGGTCATATGATGTTCATATGATACCGAAATTCCATCTTAAGGTGGTGGATTCCTACAAATGGGAGCAGAATACATAAACGGGGCGGACAATCCAATCTACAAAATCGCAGATAAACTGGGAGTCATTGCCGACATCATTTCCGACACAGCACAACTGCAGAATGCCGACTAACCCTGATTGGAGAGACGCGAGAGCGCGAGAGAGAGCGAGAGCGCTTCATACCGGAAGTGATGGCAATATTACTGCGAGCTCCAAGAAGATCGGGAAGAAGCAAGTGTGATCAAAGTTTGTCCACCAAATAGTTCTCGAACTCGAGATCACATGGTAAGAATTTTGGAAAAAGTTGATTCTACTTTGCCCAAAATTGAAGGCAGAGTAGTCCAGTCTACCAAACGTGGTATGTAGCAGCACAAATCGCGCCTTTTTCTTTCGCCATAATCTACTGTTTGGGGGACTTGCGCGAAGGGGGGGGGGGGGGGGGGGGGGGGGGGGGGCGGGCGAAGATGTAAGGTGTAGAGAAAAAAAAGAGGCAACATGTGCATGTTCTCAATATTTTGAGATACGCATGAATTCGACTCAACAGTTTGGTCAACGCGATACATATCAACCTTTTACAGGGGAAGGGAACAAAAGCATCTGGCCATTTGCAGCATCAAGCGATTTTTTCATTGTCCGTTGACGGGAAGTCTTATCGCGATTCTGATCTGTCCCTCCCTCACACGACCGAAGCCCTCCCACTGTAATCTCCGTCTCTAATCACGACTCATCAACCGTCACTCAGCTAAGGGCCATCCGGCCAGCTCCGCAGCTTCTTTGAATTGAATACTGTGTAGTTCTCTACCCTACCTACATCAGCAGCTGAATATGCAAGCTACTCCACCCGGCTCCTCCCCCCCCCCGCCCTCGCCTAACCAGCTTTTGAGAAACGTGGTTCACGATCCGTCGAGGTGCCTGTTTCGCTCGGCCCGTGCACCACGTTCTGTGATTTTCAGCTGCAACGGTTTGGGAGCAAAATGTGCCTAATTCCGTTGGAATATCTTCTTTTTTTAACTGCCTCCTCCTCCCCCTTCTATACTGATAACGAATGCCTACACAACGCTTACGAGAGCCATTGATGCAAAAGTATCAGATACAGTAAGCGGTCAACAATTTGAAAACTTTTCATTTCTGATCTAGCATAGTCTATAGAGAACGAAATTGTCCCAAATTCACAAAATACATACAAAATCAAGTGCAGAGGGTGAATACGATGAGCAACATGATTTCGTGAAATCGAGAATCGCAAATAAAACATAAGAATTTTTATACCCCGAACGGGCCGATCAAAAGTTTGGAAACTCCTCAATTTCAAAGCGAATTCAGCAGTTGGCGCCCACGGGTTGGTGCCGAATCGCGCTTAATATCAAAATCAGATGTGAAGTTCATCGTCAAGACCATACATTTGAAACCAACAAGTGGCCCAACCTTGATTGCAAAATTTAGTCGCCGCGGGGGATCGAACCATCAAGGGTATCAGTCACCACATTTTTGGTACTGCTAAAACCGTTCAGCGAAAACGAAACATGGTTTTATGGTCCACACATGCATCCCTACAGTATGCAATAAACCGTTTTTAAAAAGCGCGGCTTGCCGTGAAAGACCTCCCTTGTAAGGAACCAGATAAATTTTGCTTTCTGGATTGCAGGGTTTGAAGAAGGATATTTTGAAACTACATAACACTACCCCACGGAGAACAGAAACAAGTAAACATTGAAGAGTATGATTCGTAATAACGAAAGAAACAAAAAGTTTCCAAACTTTTGACGCGCCATTACTTGAAAAAAAATTTATGTCTCAAATACGATTTAAGAATTTCGGAAATTATTCTGCCTGTCGTATTCTAGACTTGATTTTGTGTGTAATGTCTAAATTTGAGGCAATTTGTTATGTGTATCTGCCGCGCTAGATCAAGAATAAAAAAGTTCCAGCACTTTTTGACCGCTACTGTATGTGCCGATCAGGCGAACGACCCTTCAGCGATGTGCGTGTTCTGCGGTGCCTCTTGCTCTCGGAGCACCTCTTTCGTAACCATAAATTTGTAGGGAAAGCAAAGACGAGATGTTAGCAAGTATTGATTGAGCTTGGACTCACACAGGCTGTAAAGACACTGAACCTTACTCCCTTCAATCCTTTACCCACCTAGGCAGGACATTGAGCTGTTCACGAAGTTCGTAGAGCCTCTGGATCCCAAATATCGTCAACTGGCGAAGCAGCATGATTTGTTATCGCGTGTCTACACGATTAAAAGTATATTCATGGAAGACTATACATTCTTTTTAAAGGTGAGGACATCTTGTAATGTAGGCAAGCTCTCTTCCAAAAATCGCTTTCAAGGTGAACAACATCCACTGACCTCAGACAAATGTTTTCGCGCTCTATACCCGCTCGTACAGCGTCGTATTGGAATCGAATGGCAAGCCCACCGCGAAATTGTTTTAATTTCAGGTAGTCAGAAGCAAGAATCTTCCTTCTGGTTTCGAAACTCCACTTGTGCAAATTATGTTCAGGTGAATTTTGAAGTTGAGGTAGCGTGCAGGATGTTTGTAAGGGTTTTCGTGGTCGTCAGTCTGCGCAGCAGGGTTTATACTTGGGCGGGTACCCCCAGGAGGCCCGTCGCGCGGCAAGAAGGCAAGTCAGCGGACGAGTTGCGCGCGTACTGTAGGGATTTCGCGTCAAGTTAAATAGAATGTCCCATTGCACGTCCTACATCGCATCACGCGCTGCGACTCGTCCGCGACTCTGCCTTCTTGCCGCGCGACGGGCCTCCTGGGGGTACCCTACTTGGGCAGTCGCTACAACTTCTTTAAAGCAAAATCCGGGATTTCTGGTCAAAATGAAGCCGTTGCGCGAGAATTGTGCAGTGAGGGCAAGCGCAGAGCATGTTCTCACTTGGCGCCACAAATTGCAAGGCTGGGACGATAGCCCAAAGTCGATAGCCGATAGTACGAAAGCCAGAATTTACGATGTTAGCTCATTGGAAATAAGGGTAGAGGTGGTCAGTGGAGCAGGGATGAAGAAGAAACCATTTGAAACGGCCCGAAACCCGAGAAATGGGACCCCTTCCTTGCCCGTTGATTTGCGCATTGATGCGACTCTCATCGCCCTCTTCAACACTACGCTCTCTCTGCTATCTAATCACTCGCCACGTATAGACCTGCGGCGAGTGATTAGATAGTCGGTGGGCGTACCCCGCCAACCGCGCCAAGAGTGAGCCATGCTAGATCGCCGAGGTCAAATCTTTCGCTGCCAATTGCGCGTCGGTCAGCACCCTCAGAGGTCCGCCTGTCTCCCACTATGCAATTTTCCCCTTCTTTGACCTTCGTTCTTATCGTGAATCCCTCCTTTAAAGATGCACCATCAGTTCCGCTCGCGACCATGGATCCCGCTCGCGAATCGATGCTATTTCGGCTTACTGTTGCTGGGAGGATTTAATTTTTGGTCCTTTGCGATGGTTTCTTCGCCTTTTTTCATTACTGGTGTATCATTTCGCATCTCCAGTGTCACTTCAAAGGCAGAATTTGCGACGAAAAACTAGCTTATGGGTAGAGGTGGTCAGTGGAGCAGGGATAAAGGAGACATCTGGGGAAACGGTCAAAACCTGAGGGAACTGCGCCAAAGGGAAGACCATATTAGATTGCTGGGGACATATCATTCGATGCGAATTGCGTGTTCGCGAAGGGTCAAAAGCTTGGTCTTCGTGTGTGCTAAAGTGTAGTGCTAAAATGAATATCCTTCGCCATTTCAGGGATGGGAAATGTACAAGGTTGGGATCTCGAAAAGCGGCTGCTGCAGTACAATGTAATGGAATGGTTGCTGCTACATAAACTAAAAGGTGGTTTTCTCAGTAATGACACTAATTGGCTTGAATTGGAAATTAAAAGGTGAAGCATGCGGCATTGTCCCCTTTTGGGGTGTGCCAGGCATTTCAATTTTGTTAAAGACATGTTCACACTAATTCTTGCATTTATTACCAACATGAATACGGTGGTTGTGATCACTAGAGCCAAAGTACTAGGTTTTCGCACAAAAACATTCAAGTTTCCGATGAGGTAAGGAGGACCAGTCTCTGAGAAACGGTCACGGGTAGGGCAGGCGGAGACAAGAGAACGCAGGGAGAACGTGCCTCGAGGCGGCTATCTGCTAGGTGACTCTTTGAAAGAAGCGTGTCAAAACGTTCGAAATTCGGACAACAGGAACAAAACGATGGAAGAATTGCATGCAGTAGAAAAGAGCAATGTTATTGCTGTAATAAGACCCACCCTTATTTTGTTGCCATAGGTGGAAGAAGCAAAGAAGAGTTGCTAATTTAGGCACTCCCAGAACCAAGTGATATCGATCCTGTAGCTAACACATCAGTGAGAGCGGCAGCGAGAATTTGAAAGCGTAACAGTCCTGATTTCAAATTACTTGCGATATAACGAAAAGTTGATTCTACTTTGCCCAAAAATTGAAGGCAGAGTAGTCCAGTCTACCAAACATGGTATGTAGCAGCACAAATCGCGCTTTTCTTTCGCCATAGCCACGCTTGGCCTGGGATTTTGCGCGAAGATGCAAGTGTGTAGAGAAAAACAAGAGGCACATGTGCAGTGTTGATCAATAATTTTTGGGATACGCCATGAATTCCACTCAAATTTTGGTCACTGAGATACATATAAAGCCTTTACAGGGGGAAGGGGACAAAAAAGCATTTCGGCCATTTGCACATCAGCGATTTTTTCATTTGTCGTTGACGGAAGTCTTACGCAGGATTTCTGCCCCTTCCTCAGCAGAAAGAAGCCCCCTCCCACTGCTATCACCGTCTTCAGACTATGATGTCATCAGCCGTTGCCGTCAAGCTCAAGAGGATCTACCGGCCTGAAGCTGCTACGCAGTTTCTTGAATATCTACTGGTGGATAGTTCCCTAGCTACCTACATCAGCTCTGAATATGCAAGCTACCCCACACTGTCCCCCCCCCCCCTCCCTCCCCCCACCAGCTTGTTAGGAAACGTGGTTCCACGATCCGTCGAGGTGCTTGTTATCGCTCGGCCCGTGCACCACGTGCTGTGATTTTCAGCTGCACGCATTCGGTTTGGAAGCAAATTGTGACTAATACCGTTTCAAATGTGGGGATAAATATCTTTTTTTTTTTGACCCCCCCCCCTCCTATAACTGAATACGATATGGCCTACACAACGACTTTCGAAGCCAGTTAATGCAAGGACATTAGATCTGGTCGAGATTCGATTCGGTAAGGCATACGACCTCTGAGCGATATCCGTGCTCTTGTGCCTAAACCATGAGATCTGTAGGGAAAGCAAAGGCGAGATGTTAGCTAGTAATGACTGTGCTCGTACTTACACAGGCTTGGAAAAGACACTAAACCTTACTCGCTTTTAACCATTTACCCACCTAGGCAAGACATTGAGCTGTTCACGAAGTTTGTTGAGCCACTGGATCCCAAATATCGTCAATTGGCAAAGCAACATGATTTGCTATCTCGCGTCTACACGATTAAAAGTATATTCATGGAAGACTATACCCTATTTTTAAAGGTGAGGACTTCTTGTAGCTAGAAAAGCTCTCTTCCAAAAATCGTTCTTTCAAGGTGAACAACATCACTGGACTCAGACGAAATGTTTTCGACGCTCTTACCCGCTCCTACAGGTCGTATTGGGAATTCGAATGGGCAGCTGACTGGGCTGATGTGTTATTTTAGCTCCTCGTTCAGCGAAGTTCCGAGAAGCAGTCACATAATAACACAAATTTCAGCTCAGCCCCCGAGTGCTGACCGAATGGAACGATAAAGGAACGGAAGGCGAATCGTTTCACACGAACAAGATTGGCTACAAAGCGATACTTGAGCATTTAAGAGCAGCTATACCAGAATACATGTTCCACTTCAATACCACTATCCTGAACATCAACCACTCAGCGTCTGGGGTTACCCTGACGACCTCCAAGGGGAAAATCTCGAAGATGTACGATTACGTGATTGTCACATCCTCATTGGGACACCTCAAGAAGTACCATCACAAATTGTTCACACCTCCACTTCCACGCCAAAAGATCGAAGCAATCGAGAAGATTGGTTCGTAGTTCTACATAAATCTGTCACTTTTGCTCGAAGTTTCCATCAGGCAATTTTTTAGGATTCGGTGGGTCGTGCAAGATGTTCTTCCGCTGGGAAAGGCCATGGTGGTCAAATGAAACCATGCCCGATGATCCCTCTTCCAGTCGAAGGAATGGCTCGTGACGTCATTGACCCGTTCGAACGGGAGCTAACTACACTTCAGGTGACTTCTATTGGCCGAACTACCTAGGTACTACTTTGGTGTCGTATACTTGTAGTGTAACTTATTAGGTATGCTTGAAGGCACGAGTCGGGATCGAGGGGGTATTCTTGCGCTTGAAAATGAGTGCAGAGATCCGAAATGGAACGCCAGTGAAGAAAAAAAGGGTAGAAGCCGTCGACAAGACCAAAAATAAATTCTCTCTTCCCAACACCGGCGAAGGAGGCTGGCTAGGAGGAATGCATGTCCGAACGAGTTTTCGGACATGCCAACCATTGCTGGCTCGTGAAAGCAGCTGATACGGCAATCAACCCAGCTGATTTCACGCCTTATGCCAGCCACGCACCACTTCCGGCGGTGGGCGGTCATAGCTCACGTCGTCCTAAATGCTAGGCCAGGGTTGTTATAGCCGCGCGGTTTCGAGTCACGAGCGCGGCATCACCTCTATGGTTGCAGACCCAGTCATAGCATCGACAGAGCGAATTCCTTTGATCGCCTACTACTATTCGCCCCGTACTTTTAATGGTACATTGTTCAAGCCAGTGCGAGAAAATCCGGCACTGACTTTCTCTATCAAGAGTCTAACGTCATGATCACGTTAAACATGATGCTTCTTAACGATTCCAAACCAATGGCTACCTACTTGATGCTGGTTAGGAATCTTTGAGGAGCATCAGGTCTCCGCGATACTGCGTGGAAGCGTAACCCATTACCTTAAAGAACGGAT